TATTAAAAGTAGACACAGGCTAAAGTAGAAACTGTCTGAATTCATTGTTATATAGTTAATAAGTTCTGAGGCCTCAAAGGAATCAGACTTTTATATATACCACTATAATCTTTTAAAATTAAATTTTCAATACTGCTAAGTGACTATTTTCTTTAGGATGGAATACAAGCAATTCTTCATTATTAGGATAATAGAGGAAATTAGTATAATGGATGATCCAAAATAGTGAAATATAAGAAAAAGATGTTTGCCTTTAGAATTTTGTTTTTACAATACAATTTACTACTCTGAATTTATTTTTTCTTATTGTTTAGCTTGCAGATCCCATGCATACACTAAATGACAGCAAGCAGTGCTTGTCTTAAAGTGCAATTATAGAATTAAATATAACCATAAGTCCCCAAAGGACACCTGAAAACTATATAACTGAGTATATCATCCATTATAACAGAAAATAGAAATTCTCATATTAGTATACCTATCAGGATGAACCAGGTCAAAGAAAAAAAATCCCCTAAAAGTGCCCTGAAAACTACAAGCAGCATAACTAGACATTTACAACTGATAATTTGAGAGAGTCTGAATTACAATAAGGAGGATTGTGAACATGAATATGCAAGCTCCTGGGAGCTGAATGCACCTTCCTTTGTTATCGAACTTATGTGTAACAGGAGCCTGTAGTAAAATGAAAGCAAAGAGATGTAAGTGAAATTCTTCAAAACTAAACAGATATGTAACTACAATCTAGCTTCAGAAGCTTTGAGTATTCTGCGTAGTTTTCTTTCAAACCACACAGCATTCCACAGTTTGAAGTCCTTCAATGCTTAGTATACTTAGCACGTTTGAAAAACTTTTTTGTCTCCTTATTTCTTTAGCTCTCTACCTGTACTTTTCCATCCACTATTGTATAACTGTAGCTGATATTTACTGAGCTTCTTTGTAAGTGACAGGCACTGTTTCAGGTCCTCTGTATCACTTAATCTTCACATTAACTTTGTAAAGCAAATACTGCTACTATCTCATCACTTAACAGATGAAGGGGCTGCAACTTAGGTCTGCATGATCTGCTTTCTTAGTTACATCTTTTTTGAAGGTTCCTCAAAAAAGTAAAAATGGAACAACCACATGATCCAGCAACCCCACCACTGAGTACATATCCAAAGAAAAAGAAATCAGTAAATAAATATGTTGAAGAGATCTCTGTAATATGCTTTATTGATATATTCATGCTTATTGCAGCATTATAATCATATACTGAAAATATTGTGGGTTTGGTTCCAGATCACTGCAATAAAATGAATATATCAATAAAGCAAGTCACACAAACTTTTTGGTTTCCCACTGCATAAAAAAGTTATGCTTACATTGTAGTCAATTAAGTGGCAATGACGTTATGTCTAAAAAACAATGTACATACCTTAATTTTAAGATACTTTATTGCAAACATATGCTAATAATCATTGAATCTTCAGCAAGTCATAATCTTTTTGCTGGTAGATGGTCTTGCCTCAGTTTGATGGCGGTTGACTGATAAGGTGGTGGCTGGTGCAGATTAGGGTGATTGTGGCAATTTTGAAAAACAAAATAAAAACGAAGTTTGCAGCATCAACAACTCTCTTTTATGAAAGATTTCTCTGTAGCATGTAATGCTGCTGGATAGCATTTTACCCAGAGTAGAACCTTCAAAACTGTAGTCAGTTCTCTCAAATACTGCCACAGCTTTATCAGCTAAGTTTAAATAATATTCTAAATTATTTTTTGTCATTTCAACAATAGTTACAACATCTTCACCAGGAGTAGATTCCATCTCAAGAAATCAGTTTCTGTGCTCATTCAGAAGAAGCATCTCTTCCTGGTTCAGGTTTTAACATGAGATTGCAGCAATTCAGTCACATCTTTAGGCTCCATGTCGAATTCTAATTCTCTAATTATTTCTGTCCTATCTGCAGTTACTTCCTTCACTGAAGTCTTGGACTTCTCAAAGTGATCTACATGAGTTGGAATTAACTTCTTCCAAATTCCTTTTAAGTTGATATTTTCACCTCCTCTCACGAACCAGAAATCTTCTTAAAGACATGTAGAAGGGTGAATCCTTTCCAGGTTTTTTATTTTCTTTGCCCAGATCCATCAGAGGAAAAACTATCTATGGCAGCTAAACCCCTACAAAATGTATTTCTAACATAAAAAGACTTAAAAGTCAAAAGTACTCCTTGACCCAGGGGCTGCAGAATTACTGTCATGTTAGCAGGCATGAAGACAACATTAATCTTCTTGAACATCTCCACCTGAGGTCTTGGATGACTAGGTGCATTGTCAATGAGCAGTAATATTTTTAAATAAATCTTTTTTTCTGAGCAGTAGGTTTCAAGGGTGGGCTTAAAGTATTCAGTAAACCATGCCAAAAGCAGATAGGCTACCATCTAAACTTTGTTGGTTCATTTACAGAGCATGGATAGAGTCAATTTAGCACAATTCTTAAGGGCCTTAGAATTTTTAGAATGGTAAATAAGCATCGGCTTCAACTTAGTCACCAGCTGCCTTATCCCCTAACAAAAGAGTCAGCCCATCCTCTGAAGCTTTGAAGCTTTGAATTCAGTCATTGTCTTCTCCTCTCTAACTATGAAAGTCTTAGATGACATCTTCTTTCAATAGAAAGTTGTTTTGTCTACGTTGAAATTTTGTTGTTAAGTGTTGCCTCCTTCATCAATGTTCTTAGCTAGATCTTCTGGTTAACTTGCTGCAGCTTCTCCATCAGTACTTGCTGCTTCACTTTGAGCTTTTATGTTATGGATTTGACCTTTTCCCTTATATATCTGAGCCAACCTCTGCTAGCTTTGCACTCTTCTTCTGCAGCATCCCTGCTTCTCTCAGCATTGATTGAATTGAAGAGAGTTAGGCCTTGCTCTGGAATAGCCTTTGGCTTAAGGGAATGTTGCAGTAGCTTTGATCTACCCAGACCACTACAACATTCTCCACGTCAGCAATAGGCTGTTTTGCTTTCTTAATGTTCATGTATTCACTGGAGTGGCACTTTTTATTTCCTCTTAGAACTTCTCCTCTGCAGTCACAACTTAGCTAACAGTCTGGTGTAAGAGGCCTAGCTTTTGGATTGGCTTTTGACATGCCTTCCTCACTAAGTTTAATCTTTTCTAGCTTTTGGTTTAAAGTAAGAGACATGCAATTTTTCCATCATTTGTAGGGTATTAATTGGCCTAATTTCAATATCATTGTATTTCAGTGGATGGGGGGGCCTGAGGAAAGGGAGAGAGATACAGAGGAATAGCAATCAAAATATGGGATTAACCTAAGTGTCCATTAACAGATGGATGGATAAAAAAATGTGGTATAGACACACAATGGAATACTATTCACCCATAAAAAAGAAGGAAATTCTGGTACTTGCCATCCTAGAGGACATTTTGTTAAGTGAAATAAGCCAGGCACAGAAAGACAAATACTGCACAATCTCACTCATATTAGGATCTAAAAAACTGATCTCATAGAAATATAGAATAGAATGGAGGTTACCAGAGGCTAGGATGGTTTGGCAGTGGAGGTTGGGAAAATGTTGGTCAAAGGACACAACATAACAGAAAGAAGGAATAAGTTCAGGAAATCTTTAGTATAGCAGGGTGACTGTAGTTACTGATAATATATTGTATTCTTAATTGGGTACAGTGCTGTATACCTGTAGTCTCAGATACTTGGAAGGCTGAGCTAGGAGGATCACAGTAGGAGTTCAAGGCCAGTCTGGGTGACATAGAAAGACCCTATCTGTGTATATATATATAATTCTTTAAAAATGCTAAGAGAATGGATGTGAGGTGTACTCGCATGATGACTATGTGAGGTGATGCATATGTTAGCTGGATTTAGCCATTCCATGATGTATGAATAGTTGAAAAACATCATGTTCACAAGAAATAGATATACTTTTATCTGTCAGTTTAACAGAAATAAATAAATAAGAATTCAAACACAGAGAAAAATGCAATTCATGGTAACATTATTCTTAAGACTTTACAGCATTTTGATTCAGAAAATAATTGACATTCTATGTGAATAAGTACTTGACACATGCTTTGAAACTTTTTAAAGCATATACTTTCAAATGCCCCTGTGACATCCTTTTGATTGATTTGCTCTTACTGGAAAAGATTTCTAACCCTACTTGATATTGTGCTGGGTGGCTTCTATTTGTCCCTTCCCATGTACTCCCTACCCTTCTTGCCCTGCTCTGGGTCCCAGTGTTGAACAAAAGAACCAACCAGAATCTTGCCCACACTAGCATTTTCTGATAAGATTTGAGACACATGATAAGATTCATGACTTCTGAGCTGATGAGATTTCATTGAGATGTTGGATCTTACCCCCTGTGCCCCCAGTAGTTGCGTGCCCTTGTCCTTTGGCCATGGGTAAGTTCAGTAATTGGGAGGCACTGGCAGATGTGAGGTCAGGAGGGTAGTGAGGTCCCTTCTTCTCTCCCCCTGCAGGACTGGTAGGCTGGTGGTGACTGTGTTTCTTTGCCTAGGGTTGTAGCGCCTGGTCATTCAGAGACCCCTGGCCCATAGACACCAGGTGCTGCTGGCTGTATCTTCCTCTAATCCTTGGTGGAGGGACTGCATCTCGCTATCATGAGACCCTGGTGCCCCCCATCAGTTATCTGTCCTCTTGACCCTGCCCTCACCTCCATAAATAGTCTTCAGTAAACTCTGTTATCACCCCTTAGAGTGTGCTGTGTGTCTTCTGCCAGATCCTCACTGGAATAGTCCTGATAGCATTAATCTAGCATACTGAATAATTTTTCCCTATAAATAAAATTATTCCAGGTTTTCAAATAGTTCTAGTTTCAAAGGATTGCAAGTGGCTATGACTCGTGTAAGTCTTTTTTTCTCCTTTAATAACAAGAAAATAAAAGGTGATAGCGTGGGATGCTTTCGTGCCTCTTGGAGACCTGCTATAACTAACGCTTATTACTGAATGATTTTGGTTCCAATTACCTGTCATCGCCATCAACAATGCACTCAGGGAAGGCAAGGCTGCAGCCAAATAGCATGATATGTGGATAGCAGCCGAGGCGATGGAGGTATGTGAAGAACTTGAGGATCTTCTCCATTTCTATGTTTCTGACGATGGAGAGGAGAGGCGTCATCGTTGTGTGGTAAGGCAGCACCTGGCACTGGCTGTGGGTGATGTTCATGCAGGCGCCTGGGAAGGGAAGACACTTACATTGAGAAGTGGACACATCAGAAGTGTATGTGTACACTCATTTGCTAGTACACATTAGTGTGTTCAGGAGATAAAGCACATTCTGTACATAATGATTATAGATACACATCAGTATGAGTGTGTAAGCTCCTAATATTTACAGAGGGAGAGCACTTATGTCTTGGGAAAGTATGTGGAAAACTACATACTCTCAGGAAAAAATATTTGCCAATTGTAGATCTGACAAAGGCCTAACATGCAGGATCTACAAGGAACTTAAATGTGCTGAAAGAAAAAAAACAAAAAAACAAAACAGCCCCCATTAAAAGTGGGCAAAAGACATGAATAGACACTTCTCAGAAGAAGACATACAAGCAGCCAGCAGATACATGAAAAAATGCTCAGCCTCACTAATCATCAGAGAAATGCAAATCAAAACCACACTGAAATACTACCTAACTCTAGTAAGAATGGCCATCACTAATAAAACAAAAACAACAGACAAGGACAAGGATGCAGAGGAAAGGGAAAGCTGCTTCACTGTTGGTGGGAATGCAAACTATTTCAACCTTTATTTCAAAATAGTGTGGCAATTCCTAAAAGAACTAGATGTTGACCTTCCATATGACCCAGTAATCCCCCTACTGGAAACATATCCAGGGGAACTTAAATCACTCTACAAAAAAGATACCTGCACACGCATGTTTATTGCAACACTAAATACAACAGCAAAAACATGGAACCAAGAGTGCTGCCCATTGAAAGTGGACTGGATTTTAAAAATGTGGACCAGGAGGGTGGCTCAGCCTGTAATCCCAGCACTTTGGGAGGCCAAGGCGAGAGACTTGCCAGAGCCTGGGGGTTCGAGACCAGCCTGGGCAACTTGGTGAGACCTTGTCCCTACAATAAAAATCACACAAAAAACTAACTGGGCATGGTGGTATGCGTCTGTAGTTCCAGCTACTAGATAGTCTGAGGTGGAAGGATTGCCTAAGCCCAGCAGGTCAAGGCTGCAGTGGCAGTGAGCATGCCACTGCACTCCAACCTGGGAAACAAGAGTGAGATTCCAACTCAAAAAAAAAAAAAGTGTGGTGCATATACACGAAGGAATATTACGCAGTCATAAAGAACAAAATTATGGACTTTGCAGCAACTTGGTTGGATTTAGAGTCTATAATATTCAGTGATTTATCACAGAAACAAAGAACTGATTACCACATGTTCTTACTCATAAGCGGACTCTGAACGTTTACCCTAATACCATGAGAAAGGGCTTGACAGTGGCTAGAAACTGCCAGAGAAGGGAGGGGGAGCACATAACATTAAAACCAGGCAAAGTGAGGACCAAAGGGAGGCCCAAACTTTACTTGTATGATCACTTGTATACCTAAACCAGAATTGTACCCCACATCTTTAAAGTAAAATAAGTTAAAAAAATAAAAAAGAGAAAAATACACACTCATACACAGCTGGTGGGCAAATAAATTGGCGTTTGCCTTTGGAGATGACAGCTTGACAGGGCGGTATGTACTCCCAAAAATCTTTGAAACATGCATATTCTTTGACACTGTCATGTCATTTCTAAAAATTTATCCTAAAGAAATCATCATGACAGTGAACAGGAATTTATCTACAAGGATCTTCATCTCTGTACAGTTTATAATCTTCACAAAATAGAAATCACTTAAACATTCAACAAAAGAATTGGTTTAAAATATTATGGAACAAGCCGGTCTCGGTGGCTCAGCCTGTAATCCCGCGCTTTGGGAGGCTAAGGTGAGTGAATTGCCTGAGCCCTCGGGTTTGAGACCCACGTGGGCAACTTGGCGAGACCTCATCTCTACAATAAATCAAAAATTAGCCGGGCATGGTGGCGCACACCTGTAGTTCCAGCTACCTGGAAGGCTGAGGCGGAAGGATCACGGGAACCCAGCTGGTCGAGGCTGCAGTGGCCGGGAGCATGCCACTGCACTCCAGTCTGGGTGACAGAGTGAGACTCCAACTCAAGAAATAATAATAATTATAGAACAAACAACAGAATACTTAATTCAGGTGAAAGATACTTAAGAGGACAAATCATATGGAAAGATGCTCATAATATGATAAATAAAAATTACAAATCAGAAAACAATGTGTATACCATGATCTTATTTTTACAACATACATGACTATACAAAGATTTGCAATCTTGCCTGTGTCAATAGTCCAGGATTAGCTCAGAGTTTCTGACTTGAGTTTCTTTTCTCTCATAGCTGGATCCTTCTGTGGTACCACCACTTCCATGGCTTTTCCAACTCATCATTCCAGAAATAAACCAAAATATTTACACGGGTCCATATGACTAGATTTTAGGAGACGGCTACTACATTTTCTTCTGTTTTTATTCTGTATTCTCTTACTGATTTATATACAGATTTATTACTTTTATTGAAAAGGAGATACATAAAAGTTTACTGTTTTGTTGCTTAAGCAAGCCACTATGTAAAAGAAGCGTTAGGCTCTAAAAGTGCAGTGGAAGCATCATTTCTAATAAATAATTTCTAATTATTTTAAGGGGGAAATGAGAAAGGAACATTAAACAAGAATGGGAACATCTTTTCTGATCACTCTGTAATTCCCAAAGGAATGAAGGAAAGATACTTCCCAAACATAAGGCATACTCCATGTAATAGCAATGATGTCAAAAAATAATGATGCATATCTACTAAAGTGACCAAATTAACTATTTGATCTGTAATGCAGAACTAATGCACCCTGGCACATTAATTAATGCACCCTGGCACATTAAGGGTTAGCCTTCCAACCCTTTCTGCTTCACTCATTCAGACAGAGCCCTTCAAGGTCTCTACTTATCTTCTCTAGGTCTCTGACTAAGCACATCTCCAGTCCTGTTTTTCTTTCAAACCTCCCACTCCCTGTAGGAAGCCTTTCCCCTAGATTGTAGCCATGAGCTTAAAAAACCTCACATGAAAAGATACAATTCTCCACTGTCAGATAATACTCATTGGTCACCCAAAATGTGCTGAACTCCATGGGAATAATCAAAACACGGTTTCTACTCTCAAAAGCAACAAATGACATGTAATTTCTCTTTAGACCATAGAATAGCCATACCAAAGAATTAAGGGCACAACATTTTCGTGGGCTTCACCAAATTCAAAATGAAAAATTGGAAAAAAAAGATAATCAGAGAGGAAGAAAATTCCAAATAAAAATAGGCAGACAGAGCATAAATAGGCACATATACACATGAATTCAGTTTCCTGGGGCGCATTTAATGAAGACAGCACTCAAGTTGTGTAGTGAGGGAAGTACAAACACATTTCAGAGAGATAGGAGGACGTGCAGACAGGAGATTTCCACGTGCCAGAATCGCGTGTGCTGTGCTACAAGCAGAGAACCTTGCTTATACGAGTGGAAAGTAAAATTCTCTCCATCAAAAATATTAAATCAGGCCAAGTGCGGTGGCTCATGCCTGTAAACCCAGCATTTGGGAGGCCAAAGCAAAAGGATTGCTTGAACCCAGGAATTCAAGACCAGCTTAGGCAACATAGCAAGACCCAGTCTCTACAAAAAATTTAAAAATCAAAGAATTAGCTGGGTGTGGTAGCACATGCCTGTAGTCCCAGCTACTCAGGAGGCTGAGGATTGCTTTGAGTCCAGAAGTTCAAGGCTACAGTAAGCCATGATCATGTCACTGTACTACAGCCTTGAAGACAGAGTGAGACCTTAGCTTGAATACACACACACACACACACACACACACACACACACACACACACACACACACACGGTGCCAAAAAATTGCATACACATTTTAAGAAAGGAAAAAAATTGTATTACAATTACAATACTCAATATATACTGATAACAAAAGATGAATACAAGTCATATTTGACTTCTGCAATTACAAGAGATGCTCAGACTGGTTACCAACAGCATCCAGACATTTCTGATTTCAGTCAATACTGCAGGACTTATTGCTGTGTGAGACCTCCCAGATCTTCTATTGTGCACGTCACACATGGGACCATGCGTCTCAAACGTACCACAAATGCATGCAATTGTTAGGTGTATTGGAGGGTCACGCCTCTGCTGTTGTTATACTTCCACAGTGTTCTCCATTTCAAATACTACTTCAAAATGGTCTTGCGTTCCTCCAATGACAACTGTGCTTCCACCATTTTCTTTGACTGTCCTGCTTGCTGCATGGTGATGCTAGCATTTCATTTGATGAACATCATCTTTTGAACGAACGTCATACTACACATTGCTCCCATAATTCAATTCAACATTGAAAAGTAATACATCGCTTAAAATATGTATATATTTTTGGCACCCCCGATATGTATGTATGTGTGTATATATATATAATATTTATACATATATATAATATTTATACATATATGTATATATAATATTTATACATACATAATATTTATACATATATGTATATATAATATTTATACATATATATGTATATATATAATATTTATACATATATGTGTATATATACATATAGAATATTTAGACGTGTGTGTGTGTGTGTGTGTGTGTAGTCATTTGCAGGAAGTTCAGACTTAAGAAAGCATTTATTGAGAATCAACTTTGTGCACCAAAACAGATCCTGTCATTCACAATTAGCTCATTTTCACAACCCAGTGGAGCGATATCATACCTATATTATACATGAGGAAACTCAGTTCTTGAAGGCTAAGAAAGCTGCCTGAAGGTACACAGCTTTATGTGGAAATTTTAAATCCAAAACCTATGTCTTCTGAGTAACTTCAATAACTTGGAGGCAACTTAGGCTAACTTAAAGAGAGTTCTTATGTTAAAAATAAATCTTGAAGAACTGTTGGCCCATGAAAGGAAGAGGCTAAAAATCATGTAACAACATATCACTAAGTCTTTATTTGTATTAATATATAATACACCCGTATATACAGATAACATCTTATAATTAGTTCTAACTGCATTATTTTATTTAGGAGTTATCA